TACCTTTCAAGAACACTTGTCAAATTCGCACATACTAAGAACCAATTTACAGTAACAAGTACAATAATCTGTGTTTCAGGTTTTTTACAGTATTAATAGGGTATTGGTAAAACAGGTAAGTGGTGTAAAACGTTTTCAGCAATATTGAATTAAAAACCTCTGGGATTAATTTTGGAAAGTAAATTCTTGTTCACCGTGTTCTAACGGTTTCAGTTGTTAAGCGGGTTCTTTATTTTTTGGTAAAAAATGATGCAAAGTCCATTCCACGTAATGAAAGAAAGCGTTTTATTTCTTCAACTGAAAGTTCTATAAATATCATATTATTCAAGGAAACTAACAATAACAAAGCGATAGGCCTAGCTTCACAAATATATAATTCTAGTCACTTGCTAACTTGCCCCGTGTTTTTGGTACTTAGGTGAAACAGTAACTCAAAACTTTACAGCTCAGAACTAACACTCACTTAATAAACAACAACAACAAAACTACTATTATTCTGGTCTAGCAGGCGTTTTTGTATTGCTTAATTTTTTTCTTATATTCTAAAATTCTAATGAACGTCTAAAATTAAAATATTAAAAACAAAGCCTATACTACTGTCCCCCTTGTTGGAACAATCTTCTTACAAGTAATATAATAGCAGGGCCCTTGTCCTTAAATTGTTCTCTTGTAGAGAGTAGTCGGAAGAAGTCCAGAACATTGTTTCGAATCGCGTTATTGCTGTGCCGAAATTCCGCACGTTTATGACGATGAAACATACGTAGCCCATTAATCACTGTACTCATCACAAAAAGCTAAACTCCCTCGAGCGAACTTCTAGAATTAAAATATTATTGTTTGTTTGTTTTTAATTATGCACAAAGTTACACAAGGCCTATCTGTGTTCTGCCCACCACGGGTATCGAAACCCGGTTTCTAGCGTTGTAAGTCCGCAGACATGCCGCTGTGCCACTTGGGGGGGGGGGGGCTTAAAATATTAAAAACGTGGCCTACAACCACTGTTTAGATTCGAATTCTAAAGGATCGACTGAAAAATATTTAGTACATTACGGCTAGTACCCTGATAATGAAAGATGCTGTATGTTTGATGTGAGAAATTATGCAAACGCGTTATAAAGAAAATAAAACTTAAGCATACAAGACGAGTTAAAACTTAAATTAACATGTACAACTACAACAAAGTTTAATCTCTGTCAGAGCAACTCTTACCTTCTTAGAAATTTAGTTCCAAGTAATAATTTCAATATTGATGATCTATACAGATTGACTTTTA